ATACCTTTATGGTCAATTAATATTTGATGAAAAAGGTAATAAACACTGTCTCTTTCATATATGGTGTTGAGAAAACTGGACAGATGATGCAAAACATTAAACTAGATCACCAACTTATACCATACACAAGAATATATCCAAACACATTAAAGACTTTAATTTAAATAGTGAAATCATAAAAATCCTAGAAGAAACATAGGCAATTAAATCTCAGATATTTCTCAACACAGTATTTTTGCAGGTGTATCTCCTGGACAAGGGAAACAAACAAACAAAATAAAAAAATATGAAACTATGTCAAACTAAAAAGTTATTTTAGAGCAAAAAAATCTCATCACAATAGTGTAGTGATTGCCATCGGGAGGTGAAATGGAAAGAGGTGAAGAAGAATATAGTGAGGATAAACACTGATGGACAGAAACTTGACTTGGGGTGGAGAATGCTCAAAACAGTGCACAGATAAAGTATCATACAATTGTGCTCGTGAAACCTGTATAATTTTGTTAACTAGTGTCACCACAATAAATTAAATTTAAAGAAAAAGAATGAAAAGATAATTTGAAAAAGTAATGGGCTAGGGAAGAGAGCTGCCAGCTAATTAATATCTAACTTCTCAACTCATAATGCTATTTAATAATACTCCATCCCATTTAGAAATAAAATATATTGTAATAATTTATTTTAAAAATGAAAAGATAGCCTACTGAATAGGAGAACATATCACCAATGATACATTTGATAAATGGTTAATATCCAAAATATATAAAGAACTTATAAAAATCAATACCAAAACAAAAAAATATTAAAAAATGGACAAAGATCCTAAAGATACTTTTCTCCCCTGAGAACATAGAAATGGCCAATATGCTAAAGGTAACTAATTATCAGAGATATGAATTAAAACCACAATGAGATATCACCTCATGCTATTCGGAATGGCTATCATATATAAATCAACAAACAGCAAATATGTAGGGAAAGGGAAACCCTCATTCACGATTGGTAGAAATGCAGACTGGTGCAATCAATATAAAAAATAATATGGAGTTATCTAAAAAAATAAATAAAAATAAAACTGCCTTTTAAGCCAGAAACTACACTGGGTATATATCTGAAGAATGTGGAGACTCTTATTCGAAATAATATTTGTACCCCCAGTTCACTGAAGTTTTATTTACAATAGCCAAGCTCTGGAAACAGCCCAAGTGCTCATCAGTAGATGAGTGGATAACAAAGTGGTTCATTTATACAATGGAATACTACACGGCCATAAAACAGAAGGAACTCTTATTCTTTCTGACAGCATGGATGGACCTGGAGAAAATTCTGCTAAGTAAAATAAGCCACTTAGAGAATGACAAATGCCATATGATTTCATTTATATGTGGAAGCTAATGAACTAACAAATTATAAATAGAAACATGAATTAAACAAAATAGAAATAGAAACAGATATATAGAATAGACTGTCAGCTGTCAGAGAGGAGGGGTTTGGCTAGGAATAAACTATATATATGAGTATATATATATATATGAGTATATATGAGTATATATATAAATGAGTATATATATATATACTCATTCAACAGTATGTGATAGTCAAAAGGAAAGGGAGTAGGGAGAGGTAGAAGAGAGCAAAGTGGGGATAGAAGTGGATGAAAAGAAACTTTACTTTGGATAATGGATATGCAGATGATGTTTTGCTAAGTTTACACTTGAAACCTGTAGTGGGCCCCCTGGGAAGGCACATGGACATTTTTTAAATTGTCAGCTGAGCCTGAGGCACTGGCAGAACCAACCATGCCCATGGTTACAACCCCCTCCCCAAGAGGGCAGGGGGTGTTATTCAGTTCTGATTTCTTATCCTTGTCAAGGTGTCAGCAGGGGCGGGTCTAGATATGTAAATCCAGTAATTCTAGGGCCTAGTTAAGAATACAAATAAGCTTCTTTGATCCTAAATTTTGGTGTTACTTTCTGGATTTTTAGGATATAAAATAAACCTGCTGTGGGGCTCAGGGTGCTCGCTGCCTCTCCATCAAAGAGAATGGCACCTACCTAGCTCCCAGCTTTGTAAATCTATTTCTGCATCTTGCTCTCTTTCTTTCTTTAATTTCTTAATCCCCTGCTCCTCCACTCAGGAACCTGATCTTTTTCCTTTTCCATGCAGAATGCAGAGAAGAGAGAAATATCCCCCCCACACACAGAGAAACCTGTATGGTTTTATCCAATGTTACATCAATATATTATATATACAGATCACGTTTTCTTCCTGTAAAAGCCTGTGTCCATTACTTATAAATTAACATTGATTTTAACTACCCATCCCTCCTTATCTAGTTTGAGTTCAAAAGGTGTAAAAGCAAAATAGAGTTCATAAGACTAAACATAAAACAACTTGAAATAATTATTCATCCAATTAATCTTAATGTAGAAGAGAAATATAGGTATGATATATTCTACTCTTTTCCTACCTTTCTTTCTCATCCCTGAAAAATAGATATAATTTATTAATAAAAAATAAAAATAATCCTATATTGCCTTGATCAGTTTGGCTCAGTAGATAGAGCATCGGCCTGTGGACTGAAGGGTCTCAGGTTCCATTCCGGTCAAGGGCATGTGCCTCGGTTGCGGGCACATCCCCAGTGGGGGTGGTAAGGAGTAATATGTTAATTAGACTGGGAGACCTTCCAGTAGACCTTCTGGACATTCTTCTGGACAAAGCTCTGGTGACGGGGCCAAGGTAGAGGTGGTTAGAGGCCAAGAGGGGAGGGCAGTTGTGGGTGATCAGGCCAGGATGGGACAGCAGTTGTGGGTCATCCGTCTAGTGGGGGGGGGGGGGCATTGGGAGTGATCAGGACAGTGAAGGAGACGTTTGGGGTGAACAGGCCAGCAGGGGGGGGGCAGTTGGGGGCGAGAAGGCCAGTGGGGAAGACAGGTGGGGCAAGCAGTCTATCAGGAGAGGCAGTTGGGGGTGAGCAGGCTGGCAGGGGGGGCAGTTGGGGTAAGCATGCTGGCATAGGGGGCAGTTGGGGGTGATCAGGCTGGCAGGGGGACATTTGGGGGCAAGCAGCAGGGAGAAGTTGGGGGCGAGCAGGTCAGCAGGCAGAGTGGTTAGGGGCAATCAGGCAGGCAGACAGGTGAGTGGTTAGGAGCCAGCAGTCCCCAATTGTGAGAGGGAGGTCTGACTCCCAGTTTAGGCCCAATCCCTGTAAACTAGCAGTAGGACATCCTTCCAGGTGTCCCAGATTGGAGAGGGTGCAGGCCGGGCTGAGGAATACCCCCTTGTGCACAAATTTAAAATAAAACTAAAATCTCACCTCTTCATATTTTTTTTTCCTTTTCTTTTTAATCCTTATAAATCTACTTCACTTATTTTATATATGAATAAGAAAATGAGACTATGAATCAATAAGATTCACTAAACAATATTTGAACTTTATCACATTTGCTTGAGTTTTCATGTTAACAGCTTTATACTTTTCTTTACAGTGAAGGAGTTATACTTAGGAATTTTAAAGCAACTTACCTTTAAAGTGTACTGGTCCAAAATTCCCTGTAAAGACCACATCTTCACTTTATCTGTTTTAACATTCTGATAATTAAATACAGAATTTATTCTTTACTTAAAAAATAAGTAACCTTTTGAGATTGGCTCACTCAGCAAAATGCCCTGTGTTCATCCAAGTTGCTTTATGTATCACTAATCCTTTCCTTTTTATAGCTGGGTAGTAGTATTCCATTGCATGGATGTATGTTTACTCATTCACAGTTTAAAGGACATTTAGGATATTTTTAGTCTTTGACTATTACAAATAGAACTGCTATGAAAATTCATGTGTAGGTTTTTGTGTGCACACACGGTTTTATTCCTCTAGGACAAATGCCCAGAAATGTGACTTCTATATGATTCTATTTATTTATTATTATTATTTTTTAATATATTTTATTGATTTTTTACAGAGAGGAAGGGAGAGGGTAGAGAACTAGAAACATCGATGAGAGAGAAACATCAATCAGCTGCCTCCTGCACACCTCCCACTGGGGATGTTCCCGCAACCAAGGTACATGCGCTTGACCAGAATCAAACCCGCGACCTTTCCATCTGCAGGCTAATGCTCTATCCATTGAGCCAAATGGGTTTTGGCGATTTATATCATATTTTCAAAACAACAAAATTAGACATGTAGAACAGATTACTGGTTATCAGAAATTAGGGGAAAGGGAGGGAGGGTGTAACAATAAATGGACAAAGATAGTTTTTTTGTGTGTGTGTTTGTAGGACAATTTTGAATATTGATTGTCCTGGTGGTATTGAACTCTTTATATATAATAAAAAGTCACAAAGATGAATAAAAAATAAATGTATGCAAAAACTAGTAAAATCCAAGTAAAGCATGTAGTCTAGTTACTTGTAATGTACCAATTTCCTGGGTTTGATAGTGTAACGCAGCTTTGTAAGATGTCACCATTAGGGAAGCTGGATACCTCTTGGTACTATTTTTGCAACTCACTATAAATCTAGAATTATTTCAAAATAAAATGTTTTTAAAATGATATATTAAGGATGTGTTATGCCTAAGAAGAACAGCGTATACATTCCTTAATATTAAAAATAAAATAAACCATGTTTTGCAAACAAAGAAAAAAATTAACTTTTGATTGTAAACACTTGGTTTAAAAGTTTATAATTCACAGTTTTACAAATATGATAAGTACTTATAACTTTTTTTACTCTAGACTAAAACTAAGATAATGTATTTTTACCTAAAAAATCAAATATAATTTCTAAATTAGGGCAGCAACTCTATTGTATAATTTTTGATATTATAATTAGACCATATTGAGAGCTATCTTAATACCCTTTAAATGAACTCTTGTACACAAAAGAGAAGAATAAAATGTGAATTAAATCAAGAAAAGGAAAAAAAATAGGCTTAGTTAAATGTGAAAATAATGAAAAATATAAAACAAGCTTAGGGTAGAATAAGAAAATTTGCATACCTGTTAACTTGATATGTCCTATTTCATCAAGCAAAATGCTGTAAATAAAAATTTACATTCAATAAGATGGAATAAAATAGCTTAGATAAAACATTTCATAAAAAATCTTTACAAAATTAAAATAGGTCAGTGTCTATTTGAAATACTGGAAATAAATAATTAATTGAAAATCAATGGGTTTTTCTTGTTATTCAACAACAAAGAGAGAAATAAAATTAGATGTATTTTTCCCAAAGTAACTTCAACCACTTACTTACACCAAGAAATGCCCCCACCCCTCTAGACCATTTCTTGTTCTAAAGATCCTAATGAATACTCTATCATTTTAATCATAAATGTATACACATTTATTTCTCCTATTGGACTATCATTTTAAAATTAATTATTCTTGACATATTTTGGATTTGTATGTTAGAGCAGTACAAGGATGCCAAATTATTTCTAATCAGATTCCATCCATTTCTTTAACCAACATGTTTTTTATAATGCATTCATTTTTTTAAAAATCACAAGCCATGAGGTTCCAATGCACTTTAATTTTTATTGAATTTTTAGGTTTAGCAAGTCAACTTTTCCTAAATAATATTTTATATGAGCTTCTACCATTTTCTTTAAAAGTTCAGTAAATATAAACTCTAAGTCACAATAGAAAATCTTTAGAAACACCTTAAAATAATTAAAACAATATTTTGCATCTCTTTGTAATCACTATGCCCAGGAAGTTCAAAGCCATACAAATCCTTGTACTATTAAGAGTAATAAGCTTCTGTTACTTAGAAAACATCCTTAGTTAAAGCATTGGAATCCAGTTCATATCAGGAAACGAGTGGGATTCAGAATACCCTGAGCAATAATATCCAGACTCATATCACCATTTTTATAAACATGTCGGTTGAATTTTTGCTCCACTAATTATCCTTTTTATCTTATTTCCATTTAAATTTATGTTTGCAATTATGGGTCTTTTATAGCTGAAGATCACAGGCAAGCCACACAGAGTTCTGAGTCATCTTTTACACTTTTATAATTGGGCTTATACCATATGGTCTAGTGTCTTATTATTGATTATTCAAGGGCCTTTGGTCATTCATGGCAGCAAGACTTAATGGTTTTTAGCCAGTGGTGCCACAGCCAGATTTCATAATATCTAAAGGGTCAAGTAGTGTTTTTGTACCACTATCATTTTATTTTATTTTTTAAAAATATATTTTATTGATTTTTTTGCCCCCCTCCCTCCCTACCATACATACCCTCCCTTCCCAGAGTTTTATGTCCATTGGTTGTACTTATATGCATGTACACAAGTCCTTCGGTTGATCTATTATCTTCCCCAGATCTTCCTCCCCGCCCCACTGTAATTTGACAGTCTGCCATAAATTGATGAACCAAGAGACAGATATAGAGACAGTAAAGCAACAGGCAGACTACCACTATCATTTTAAATGTGGGTATTCTGCCATGGAGCAATCTGTACTGGGATGAAACCTGACATATGTAATACTCAATATTAAGATTTATCTCTGTTTGGGAGCTCAGAATAATGAGAGCTGCAATGTTGACTCTTGTGTTTATAGGATTTAAATGGCATAGCTTTCTGAAATGATTTTGTCCAAGTTTAATAGTCCATGTAGGAGCTTTGTAACTTTAATTTCAGTGTTTTTGTTTTGCTAAAAAGTATACCAAATTCCAGTAAAGCATCATATTTTATTCACTACTAAAAGATAATGCATTGGTACAAACACTATCATATGAATAAATAAAAGTGAATACTTGAAAAAAATAAAATCAATGGGTATCTTATGAAGATTACTTTCTATAAGTTTCATATAGCTGTGAAATTAATATATATTTTCATATTATCTTTAATAAAAGATTTAATGGAGAAAAAAGTCATTATATAACACTAGTAATAGGGATATGTAAAGAGAATATAACTGTACTTTTCTGGCTTCAGGTCTCTATATACAATTCCTAATCGGTGCAGATGATCCAAAGCAAGGGCTAGCTCTGCAAGGTAGAATTTCACATCTTCCTCTGTAAACAGAACCTAAAATAAAATAATAATTTACAATTTTTCAATATTTTTTAATTTACTTGTTTAAAAACCAGTAAACAGACAAATCTAGAAAAAAGAAAATATGAGAAACAGATGGAATTAACCACTTTAGGAATCTTCTTCAATATTAGCTATTGAAATGTAAATATTCCTAAAAGGTATTTTGTAGTTTGCATATCTTCTTATACTAACTACACTATATAGGATTTACCCTTTATTTTAATATGATTATCATTTTTAGTACTCTACTACAATATAGTAATACCCAAAGGATCTTTAAAGTATACAGGATATTTTGGTTTAGCATTGGCAATTCCACTATTTCTATTTTTATCTTCACTGTCTATTACATATCAGATTTTTGTCTTTGAGCAGTTCTACTAACTCAAAGTCTCTAATATACCAACACCAAGTATTAAATTAGTAACTCAAATTAAACAAAATCCTAAACCAAATCTCTGTCCTACGGGATAGTTCCAGGCCTCTTCTGCCAATGAAGTACATCAGTTTAATGGCAATGTATTCCTCAATCATTTTATGCCTGGGAATAGAGCTTCTAGGATGAGTGAAAAGAAAACGAGACTTGGAACCAGAATTAAGAGTATAACGTTTGAAATGTCACTTAGTCCTCTGGCCTTCAATTTCTAAACCTGTAAAATAAGGATAACAATATCTGTTTATTGAATAAGGTTGTTGTAAGTGTCAAACTAATTTACATGGGTGAAAAAAGCTTCATAAATTGTAAAATGCTATGTGTGTAACTATGAGGTATTATGATTATAGATTATGTCTACATTCATAAGTGGGTGTTAATTTACACACAGAATTAGGTGCTAGTCAATCATTAGGTGCAATTTTTAAGATTTGTAAAGGGCTTCCAATTAGCAAAACAACTAACTTGTCTAGAAATTTTCATTTTCATTGGTTATTTGGATTATTAGGAAAGGGTAAAATTTGAAAGAAGTATCATAAAGATTTTCATAACTGGCTTCACCGTTTAGTGTTATGACCACCAAATTACACAATGCAAATTCAGGTTACTAATCAGATTCAGGTAAAATTTTGGAGAATGATCAGCTAAAGATAAATTTTGATACTCCACCTACTTTTAAAAATGATTTATAGAAAAAGACTATACATTAAATTTTGAAAGAGTCCATTTGACATAATGGCAAAAGTATGAGAACATCATTTCCATTTGATATTTCATTAAGAATAAAAATACTGCCCTGACCAGTTTGGCTCGGTGGATGGAGTGTTGGCCTGTGGACTGAAGGGTCCCAGGTTTGATTCTGGTCAAGGGCATGTACCTTGACTCAGTAGGGAGTGTGCAGGAGGCAGCTGATCCATGTTTCTCTCTCACTGATGTTTCTAACTCTCTATCCCTCTCCCTTATTCTCTGTAAAAAATCAATGAAATATATTTTAAGAATAAAAATACTTGTTACTTTAACTTCTGAGGAAGGCTAATAAAAATGTTAATTGAAACTTAATATATAAGAAAACCCTAAACAAAAACCTTTCAAACTCTAAATTAAAGAAACTATGCCAAGGTTACAGTTTATGACAAGCATGTTATCTTGTCATAAAGTTTTCTCTGTAGAAAGCCTCAGGATGGATGCAAATAAGTTTAACTAAGTAGAAATTACTTCCAGTCACTTGACATTCGTTAGGTTATTACAATCTTCCAAGCAATACTATGAGGTAAGTATTATCATTACCTTACATTTAGAGAAAAAAATCAGTGACGAACGAACTTGCCCAGAATAACACAGTAGGACCAGGATTTGAACACAAGAATACTTGTCCCTAAGAACTTCCCCTTCTTCATAAGCCGCTTCGGCCATATGCTGTGCTACAAATCATTTTTTAAAGTTTAAGTTCCCTAATATTAGTATTTTCCTATTCACTAATCATCCTATCAAAAATACCCTCAAAATGAAAGTAATCTATAACCCCACTACCCTGAGGGGACCGTTGCTAGTCTTTTCAGGCATGTATGTATATATGTGTTTTAACACACTTGAGATCATGCTAATACACAAACAATATTTAGTAGCCTCCTTTTCCCCTGTTTATTATATCATAAGCATTGTCCCATATCTTTTTGTGTGTGTGTATAAAATAAAAACCCTTTATTGAGTCCCTACTCTATTTAAGGTAATTTGTGATTTACTCTTAAGTGTTCATAGTAAGAATATATAAGTTCTCCAAGGACCTAACAGTCTGTTTAGGGAGACGAGATTGCCTAAATGGTTGAGTGTCAGCCTATGAACCAAGAAATCATGATTCCCAGTCATGGCACATGCCTGGGTTGGCTGCTCAACCATATCTTTGAAACTTTTTTATAAAGAAGTTTTCCGGGGGAGCAGGCGGGTCGGGTGCGTCCAGGTCCGGAGCAGCGGCTGCCAGGCTGGGAGCAGCCAGGCCCGGGGGAGCAGGCGGGTCGGGTGCGGCCAGGCCCAGAGCAGCGGCTGCCAGGCTGGGAGCGGCCAGACCCGGAGCAGCAGCAGCCAAGTCCAGAGCAACTAGGTCGGGAGCAGCAGTGACCAGACCCGGAGCAGCTGGTTGTGGAACGAACCAGAGCAACAGAGGCCAGGCCCTGAGCAGCCAGGCCCGGAACAGCTCGCTCCTCGCCTGCCTTTGCCCCACGGCTGCTTCTCAGACATGGCTGGAAACTTTCGTGGGAACTTGAAGGTCTGCTGAATCAAGTGATGAAGGCTTAGATCTGGATGTGTTGAGTTAGTATAGGGCTGGGGTGTTGATCTGTGAGTGCCTTGGGTGGTGCCTGGATGAGGCTGGTGGACTTATTGGGAAATGTCTTTTGTGTGAAGTGTATCATTGGGCATGTGGAGGTATTATTGATTTGAGAAAATGCTAAGTAACTGATTCACTATCTGAAAAGGGATTTACTATTGGGGAAAGGGAGGGAAGAAGAGACTGAACATAAACTGTGCACCTATGGATGAGGACAATGGGGGATGGGGAGGGGGCGGAGGGTGGGGTGGGAACCTGGTGGAGGGGGGAAGAAATGAGGAACCTTTGTAATAATATGAACAATAAAGATTGATAAAAAAAAAGAAGTTTTAGTAGTGCTATAATAACAACATACTAATTTACCATAATCTATCAAAATGTTCATTTAGGTTATTTCCAGTTTTTCACTATTTTAAATAATTATTCAACATGTACATATGTTTTTATATTTATGATTATTTCTCCAATATGAGTTCCTGAGAAATAAAACAAGAAATATTGGGTCAAGGAGAAGAAATAGTACAATTTGCTTGATATACTAAAAAAATTATTTTGCAAAAAAGTTACAATAATTCACATCAGCAGTTTATAAAAGCATTTGTCTTATCACATACATTATGTACTGAATATTGCCCTTTTACAAATATTTTCTAATTTAATTTAAAAATAACATAAATTCCTTAAATTTAAATATTTCTTGTTAGAAATTTTCAAAACCATACATTTTCTTCATGTCTAGTGGCCTATTGTTTAAGTGAATTATAAGTAATGATTTTGCCTATTTTCCAGTATGGACTTACTGTTTTTTCGATAAGTATAAGTCTGTTAGATATTAAAAATGTCAGTTCTCCATTATATTACTTTTTAGTATTTTCCACACTTTGTGCTGGTTTTTGATATTCAATAATTCACAATTTTATGCAGTCAAATTTATATAATCATTTCTGTGTGATTTTGCTTCATTATTTTAATGATTAAAGAGATGTTCATTCAATACTCAACTTGTACACATTCAGCTGCATCTTCATTTAGAGTAATGATCTTTCCAGATTTACACTTTAACATAAGTAAAATTTATCTTGGGTAGGATGACATTTTAAAATGGTTTATTTTCTGTAATATGTAACCAGTTTCTCATATACTGTTTACTTAACAATAAATATATTTGTCTTTAACTTCTGATATTTTTTCTAACATAATAATATATGTTAAGTCATATATGCCAGAATATTCCTGGGCTATCCATAATGTGTCTAGTCTTGTGTTGATAATATGCTTAGCTTATAACAGCAGGTTTATAAAGTTTGAAGAGGTAGAACAAGAAAATAGTATTCTTTATTTTAAAAATATCTTGGTATTTTTCATCTGTTTGCTTCTCCAAATAAGCTCGCAAAATCATTCTGTCAATATCAAACAAAAATTCTATTGGTGGATTTATTGGGAATTTCTTAAGCTGATAAATTAATTCTAAAAGAATTGGCAACTTTACCATTATCAGTCACTCACCCTAATATGTTTTCTTCATATTAGCAAAGTAGGGCATGACTTAAAAGTTTTGTGTATTTGTGTGCTTGTGTATTTTAGAGAAGAGGTATTTGAGGAGGTACCATCCTTTTAAAATATGCGTGAGGCACATTATAAAATTCTTAACCTAAAAATACAGTTTTAAAATAGTTTTCTAAGGCATAGATAAAAATCCACATTTTGGATGATATAACAGTTTTTGTACATATAAGTGAAGTATAACCAATAAGAAACTCCTTATTAAAAAGCTATATATAGATATAAATAACGATTAAATAATTTTCAAAACCTGTTCAATGCATATACTAATTTATTGTATTTTGGGAAATTCATTTAAAATGCTTGCTCTTACCTAATATTCCAGACTTAGGAATCAAAACTTACTGACTGCATCTCTGTGCTAGTATGGGTTTAGATAGTCCCACATCGAGAATGGAGGTCTGAAGAGTTTAAAAAAAAATTAGAAATGACTACAAGAATTCTCATACACATTCTTGACACTTCTACAATCTAACTCATGAAATCATAAATACTGGAGCCTTGTTATACTGTTTGTCCCTCTATGTCTTGGGATCAGCTTTTAACAAGGTCCTATAAAGACCCTCCTTGGAAGGGCATTCTACACATACTCGACCATATTCTGAATTCTGTTCTATAGCAAACAATATACCAAGATCACAGTCTATATTCATGCATCATATAATCTGCACT